TTTTGATAAATATACAAGTAAGCATATGATGCGGTGTAATGAAAGTAAATAGCAAGACTTATCTTGTTTGATTTACTGGGCAACTTGTTTGCTTGGGAGACAATATTTCCGGTTTATTTCTAGATGAAAAGGACCACCTTGAAAGATCTTCGAATAATTAGGTGGTCAAAGTCGATGTGTGAAAAATTAAAATTATATGAGATAGAAACTTTTTGTTTTATCTTTATAATTTAAATATGCATATCCTCATTTATAAACTATATTTTGTTTATTGTTTTCTTGATAATTTCTTTATTTTATATTGAGAAGATTATATAATATATAAAATTTTAAATATGTTTAATAAAATATATAAAAATGCATGCGTCATGAGAGGTGAGATGGCTATAATGTGTAAAGCTGCTACATCACTCGTTGGAATAAGCCGCTTCTAGAATCTTCAAGAGATCGCGGTAGACGGACGAAAACCAACAGTTGGAACATGTTTTGGGACAGCTTTCTTACTACTTTCTAAAACATGTTTTCAGTATTACTGAACTTGTTGTGCTCTTCTGTATGCAGGAGCTATTACAGATGCACACATAAGGATTGCAGTGTTAAGAAGCAAGTTCAAAGATTGTCAATGGATGAAGAGATTGTTGTAACCACATATGAGGGAGTACACACTCATCCTGTAGTGAAATGTACTGACAACTTTGAAAACATCTTAAACCAAATGCAAATTTACTCCAGTTAAGTAATGATCTGCTAATTATTTAGCTGAACCATTTGTGTAAAGGGGGAGAATATTATAGTCTTTAGATATAAACCTCTTGGTTTTAGTTAGCAGTCTCTATTGAGTTGTACAGCCATTTGAAATAAGCAAGAAAGCTACTTTTATGCTGAAGCAAAGGTATTTGAACCTTTATGTTATTTGAACTCTCTGTATTTTAGCTATTGATTAAATTATAATAGTTCTGTGTATTTCAGCTGTTTGATGTTATTAATCTCCTTAATGAAATCCCAAAGAAAGAGTTTTTAAGAAGTATTGCTGGTTAAGATGGCGCTGATAGTGCTGAATCTTTAGAAAGCTAAAAGGAAGAACAGATTATTAAAATAATAATAATAATAAGAAATTCAGTTCATGCAGTGTCAATTCAGCATTTAGAATGGGGTTTATATAGTTTCTCTTATCCCTACAGACATAGAGAAGCCATTTCATAAATAGTAAGGTTTCGTTTCGAATGGCTTTCATATTGCTTCTTAAAATAATTTTTTATTTTTATGCTAAAAGTTATTTTAAAAAATAATAAAAAAGCTGTTCCAAATGAAGTTTAAGAAGGTAGGGGGTGAGAAAATGCAGATTACATTGTGTTTCTCGTCATTAAATCCTTTGAAATTTCATATAATATATTTTTTGGGGAGATTTATGTCTGTACCATTGAAATCTTACAAGTTTACATATCTATAGCCATAATCTATTAAAATTTTAATAAAAAATAAAAATATGATTGAAATAACTGAATTAATGTTAATTTAATAAATAAGAAATATTTAATATTATGTACTTTAAATTGCTCAATTTTATTTTCAAAAATATGAACTAATCTCAAATAATTTATTAATATTGAAGGCATACGTAAGATCATGTACTTAAAGATAAATATACATTAAGTTACTGAAAAAGAAAATATAGAATAAATTTCAAGAAAAAACATGTAATATTTTTTAAGAAAATCACATATCAGACTCAAACTCATGTTGGAACCTTTACAATTTAACGTTATTTTTATTATTTTCACCCTCTCTTAGGGCAATATATTACATCCGGTGTCTGGATTCATCCGGACACCAATTTCAGACACACCACGTCACCAAAATACATCGGGACCCAGTGTATTCGGATGACGTGGCGTGTCTGGATTGGGTGTCCGGACGTCCGGTGACCGGACGTAATAATTCGCCCTCTCTTAGAGTATCTCCAGCAGAATGCCTAACACTCATTTGGAGTCATTGGTTTGCCCAATTTGATCGCCAAATAAAATGTCATTCACATGAGAGTGAACAGTGCGACCTAAATATTGACATTTGAGTTTTAATAGACCATCTCATCGAGCGGCAGGAGGCCTTGATGGTGGTAGCTTGATTTTTTTTTTCCTTTTAGCAGTGAAATAATCATTCATCTAATTTTATAATGGCATTTATTTTATATATACTTTTATCTAAATATAAAAATATTTATGAATTAAATTTTATTACAATTTAGGCTTCGTTTGGGACGACTTTTTTATTGCTTTCTAAAACGGAGTTTTAGTACAAAAATAAAAAATTTTGTATTTTAAAGAAATAATTTTATTAAATTTTAATATGATTTGATCATAAATAAAAATTTTGATATGCTTTATTTGTGTGTTTATTTATACATATGCACACAATAAAAATATTAGAACAGTCATCACCGTCCCGACATGATCAATTTGATTAAGACGATTCTTCCATGTAGCCAACATAACAACTAAATTTTTGAAATTTTGAATAGTATTTAAAATTTAAAATATGTTTTTTTCCCTAAGAAAAACGTATTTAAAAACTAAAATTTTTAGAAATTAATTTATTTTTATTTCCAACTTTATTTAATCTCAATGAATCAGCAATATTTGATCGATTTTAATTATTTTTCATCTATAAAACTTATTTGCTTCATTTCAATGACCCAAACCTCTTCACACAATTCAATTTTATTTAACGAATAATTTTACTTGATTAAACATTCTCGATCATTTTGTTTAAGTAGAATCTATAATAATTCTACAAATTATCTCAATGAATCAGCAATAATTCTACATATGAAACTGCACAAATAAATCTTAAAGAATAAAAAAAAATCTTAAAGACTAAAAAATTTAAATCAAATCCAATCAAAGAACGGGCATTAAATAAAATTCAATAATTTAAATTTAAAAATATATTAACTTCAAAAAATTTCGATTTCAAATATCTTTTTCCACAAGGAAATTCAATTTAAAAAATCATTATTTTTTAATCAATTTTTTTTCACCAATAAAACTTATTTGCTAGTCTGAGTTTTGAGTATTTTTTTATGCTTCCCATCCATTTATCAGTTTACATTGCTTCTTATCTTTTACTTTGTGATTTATTTTTATGGCGCAGTGTGGGGTCTTTAATTGTATCCATTCCCTTTAATGAAATCTATTTTTGTTAAAAATAAAATAAAATTAAATAAAAACATTCATCACCGTCTATTGAAAACCCGACATGATCAATTTAATTATGAAAATTCTTGTATGTAGCCAATATAACAGCTAAATTTTGGAAATTTTAAAAAGCAATTAAAATTGTAAAATATGTTTTTTTTGTAAGAAAAAATATTTAAAAACTAAAATTTTCAGAGATTGAAACTTTTTTTTATTTCCAACTTTATTTAATCTCAATGAATCAGCAATATTTGACTGATTTTAATTATTTTTCACCTATAAAACTTATTTGCTTCATTTCAATGATCCAAACATATTCAAACAATAATAAAGCCGTTTCAAACGAAGCCTTAGGTTTCGTTTGAAACTGCTTTCTTACTACTTTGTAAAGCAGCTTTCTAGTACAAAAAATAAAAAATTTGTACTAGAAAGTCGCTTTAAGAAGCAGAAAAATAGCCGTCCCAAACGAGAGCTTAGTGTGTGATGTTAGATGTGTGTTATGCAGGTGTAATTAACAGGTGTATATATTAAAAAATTTATGCTATAATTGAAGGGATTAATTACGTGAAACTGAATCATATATAAAGTCGCATTTGTACATTAGTAAACCTCATAGTAAAACTACAAATACCAAACTAACTAAGAAAGCAATATTAGGCTTCTTTGACATCTCAGCCAATCCAAAATTCAAATACAATCTCAGTAAACAGATGCAGGAGGTATATCTTCTATAATGCCTTTCCCATCTGCAGCGTTGAAGTAAAAGAAGTTCTTGATAGGCTCACCTTTGCCAGAGATGGCCTTGATGACTTCCTGAGAAATGTTAAAAAGCAACAAGTCCGATTAAAGCAATCAATAAAATAGAATATAGGACATAAACTGCTCAAGGAGATTTTGAACACTTTTCTTGCAACAGTATTTAGCTTTTTTTTTTTTTTTTTTTGAACTATGAAACAATCACCTTCATGAACAAATCTAACTAGTATTCTTGAGCTATCAAATGAGCAAGTTCATTAACATATATGACTAGTTATAATAAATATAAAATATTCATATTATGTATATTTATCATTATTATAATCAAATATTAATTGAGTTTTTATCGAGCTTATTCACGAGTTTTGAATCGAACACGAATCGAGTTAGTTCACGAGCTTTAAATGATGCCGTTCATGAACATAATTGAGCCGAACACATTAGTTATCAAGCTTATTTATTTAAGTGTCGAGTATTTAAAATATTGTTCAAGTTTGCTTGTTTAGCTAATTAAACGAGAACAGAAACAAGCTTTAATAGAACCAAGCTACGAGTAGTTCGTCGAATGTTTGGTTTGCTTGTAGCCCTACTCAAATTAATATAACATGGTTGTTAAATTTCATTTTTATAAGTTTACTTTTCAATCTCCATGATATTCACTGATCATATAATTTTTTAAAGAAACTTCTTTTGTTTTAACCATCCAACATCAACTATCAAAGTTATATCCTCAGTTATTTCATCATTCTTTTACATGATAGATCTAAGACACTTAACCTAGCACAATTGGGTATCATTTTATCTTCAAATAATATTGATTGATAAAACATCAACACTCACTGAAATATGTATATTATTATATCCAAGCCGTATAGGATTGAGTTCGATCTTCTTCATGTTCTGCTTATAAGTAAACAAGTTGGAGACTTTTGTTTACGCTCAATTCCTTATCAAGATAAACACAAATTGTCCACAATCATTAAGCATTTTTGACACCCCCATCATTAACTATAAACCAATTTTACGTATCAGATATATTTGGGAGACATAATATTTTCTTCTCCCATTATTATTGTTCCCAACTTCCTAAAAATTGTGTCCAAGTTCTAACTTCTGAACATTAATTAATGAGCCTCACATTAAAAAATGATTACACATTTGATTTAGATCTCACTCTACTATAACTTTTTGCCAAAACTATTAGCAGGCCTTTCTTATTAAACCTAGGAACTCGTATGCACTTTTAGTTGCAACCATCCTGATCCTTGTTTGAGTCTTCTAACTATTCTTTGTTTGCTAGTACTAAATACTTATGCTTTCCAGGCTGATTAACAGACTGATTTATTTAATTCAAAACTCAAGCTACAGATGGCTTTTTGGCTATTTAAACTGCAATAAATAGGGATCTAGACAGTTAAGGCGATAAAAATTCCTGAATGCTGAGCTCTTTATATGAGTCAAATTTACACAGCACCTGGCCAAGAATTCCACCAAGGATAGCACATACAGGAGGATGCTCTCTGGCACCAGCTGCAACGAGACGATTCAGTAAGATGTCTGGGATGTGAAATTCATTCAATCCCTGCAGATGATTTGCCAATTTCATATTAAAAAACAGAACATCATTATGCATGTAATAAACTAAACGGAATGGTCACCTGTGCTTCACATAGATTCTTCCTTATCTCCAACACATGAGGAAGATCAGAGACAGAAAACTGACAAGGCTTACGGTTTTGCAATGATTCGAAGTGTTCCAGAACTGAGAAGATAGAAGGAAAATCATTTTCTGGCCTAATAAATTTCAAATTTTATCAAAACCCGAGTATAACAGGAATTTTTTTTGTGACAAAGGCAAAGCAAGGGAACCTTGTTATAACAAAAAGTAACAGATCAACTCATGAAATTTGTGAGAACCACCGCCAAACAACTTAAATTTGTCTCATTATTTAAAACACCATCAGCACCATAATCAAGTCCCTTATTCCAACTATTTGAGGTCAACTTTACGAATCTTCTTCCATTCATTCCAATTGAATGTTACTTGAGATGTTACTTCTATTTTGAATGAGCAAGACACTGACCCTCTCGTCTACCCCTTTCACTTGCTAACCATTTAACATTAATAATATCCCACCACTCCATATTCATCTTTTACAATCAATCGGCAAGTTCTATTTTTCACTACCTAGCTACAAGCATATGTTGATCTTAACTTTGAAGTAATTTTCCATTAATCACATAGCTTAAATATACAGATTAAGTCCCCATTTATATCCCTATTCTTTTGTACTGTATCCAAGGAATGGAAACTAAGTACATTTAGATATTACTTAATACTCTCGCATTACCATTTAATAATTTAATTTTCACATTAAGAAAATCACATAAAATGTACCCAATTTTTATTCTACTAATTTTAAACATCTCCTCTTGTAAAAATTTCCTATGTAGCTCTAGCCTTCCATTTATCATATCACTATCATAAATTCATAATTATATTATTCGAAGAAATACCAAGGCCAACGAGTCAAAAATGGGGGATCATTAAAATAAGAAGGGGATATAAATTTGGTGCTACTAGCTATGATCTAGAATTTAGAGATTCGAATTATACACAATTTCAAGAACCACAAACCTCTCATAGCAAAGTATGTTTTGGTTGTTTTGCTGGGAAGATGCCGCCAAGAAGATGAAATTGCCTCCTGCAATACAAAATAAAACTAATCTTTTCAAACTCTTTATAGTACAATAAATTTTGAGCTGAAAAATAAAGGAAAAAAGAGAAAATCGGCTAAAAACAAGGGTCTACCGAATTAGAGATATGCCAATGAGCAAAGAAAATAAACCCAAAGGCTCAAATTCTTAATTATCGCCAACCCAAAGTCAATACCACACTTGACAGCATACTTTCAAGTTTGTCACTAGACAAGTAATAGATATTAAAATTGGCTCTCATTTTTGCAGGCAACTTTGGAATTGAAGCTATTCAACATGATATTTTGATTGATTTGATTCAAAAAACAATAATAAAATTATCACAAAACATAAAAGGTCCATCAGCGGCAGGATATAAAAAGGGGTAGTTACAAGAAGTGTTAACCCATAATTTGAAAATAGGTTTCATTTTAAGCTAGGTCCTCAGAATATGCTACAATTTAAAATTTTAAACATTGTTTAGGCCCGCTCTCTAAATTTATCAATTTCATTAAATATGCCTAAATTATTGATCCTAATTCTTAGGCTTCATTTGGCAATGTCATGCGATATCTTGTATTGTATAAATATTGTAATCCTTAGTCTTAAGCCAACCCCATATTTCCTAAGAGACTACTCAAGGATACAAAAAAGGCAGTCTTGAGTTAAAGATAATGAATGAATTTTCAAAAAAGTTGCTTCAATAAAGACTTGCAATCTAAAAGATTTGAGTCACTCAAAGAACATCGCATAAGAAACAAAAGAGCTAAATTTGAAAAATACATCACCAAGAGATCAGTTAATAGAAGATTCCAGTGGTGCCTCCATCACCGAAAGATATAATGAATAACATGAAAAGTAAGGACATGAAATGAATTCTCAAACAAGATGCTTCAAAAATGAATCACATTCAAGAAGATTTGAATGTCGTGAAAAAATGTGGAGTCATTGTTAGCACCGAGGCGTGACATCCAAGCAATGTAATTACCAGAGAACCACCACTAGAAGATCTTGGCATCTAACTTTGATTCAAAGTTTTAATGAATAACTTCAAAGTTAGAACATGGAATAATTTCTAAAAAGAAATGTTTCAAAACATGGCTATACATTAAAAAGATTTGAGTCTCCTAAAAGAATGGTTGCTAAAAGGAAATGTTTCAAAACATGGCTATACATTAAAAAGATTTGAGTCTCCTAAAAGAATGGTTGCTAAAAAGGAAATGTTTCAAAACATGGCTATACATTAAAAATATTTGAGTGTCCTAAAAAGACGTGATGTCACGACGAGCATTACCACATGACATTTAGCAAATAACAGAGATCCGCCAACTAAAAATTATTGGAAGCCAAAGGTCAAGGCCTCAAATATCCAAATGTTCAATGAACAACGAGGCATCAAACCTAAGAAATATAATTCCCATTGATTCCTCATCGAAAAATTCTCAATAGAGATCTTGACAAATATTCAATGAACACCATGGCGTGACAGTTGAACAATGCCCCGGAGATCCGCTGTTGAAAGATCCAAGTCGTACACTTAAAGGTCAAGCCCTAAAATTTCCAAATTTGGCCTAAGGAGCACAAGAATGTGGCACCAAGGTAATATAATATTTCAAGATCCGCTATCTAAAGGTCCCAACATAAGCCCACCTAAAAGAAACCAAGCATGCTTTCATCAATCCATTATTAGACCTTAAGGTGTTTCCTCCCAAGATTCTACACACTAAAAGTACCTTCTAAACAAGAGAACGGTTTAATTAGACCCCTTAAAAATAAGAGAAAAATATTGACAAGCACCTCAAACAAACCTGGAAGCCAACTAAAATATCTCAATCGAAGTAAAAATTTAAAATCCAAATGCTTATAAATGTTTCCACCAATTTTTTTGGCCAAGCAAGTTAGAGGAGTATATAAAAGGCCTCCATTATGTTCCAACATTGGGAAGAATCTAAACTTTGCAAACTCAAATGGATGAGTCAAAAGATATCTTCTGATCCAACAAGCCTAAGAATAGGATCATGATATAAAGAGTAAACTGTTGAAACTACATAATATTTCCATTGTCTCGATAAGTCCAACAGGCAATCCATGATGCTTTTCAGCTCACAAACCCAAGGGTATAGCTAAATGAGCAAATTTGATAAGCATTGTGGCAAAATTCATATATTCTAACAAAATGGTTATCAACTGTTGACCCCTACACATAAAACCATGCGAAAAGAGGCGAAAACGATGATTTAGGCAATGCGTGTATTGACAAAATGCATCACTTAAGGGGGTTCAAATGACCTCCGAATGCCAAACGGATGGTATTGTTGCGATCCGGACACTGAATTCTGTTGGGTCGAGACCCCTCGCAATTAAATCGAACGAGATCGGTCAAAAGGGACGACCGACACCCGAAATTAAAGCTCGAGGCTGATCAAATGATGTCGGATCAACAAACAGACTTCACCGTTGCGCCCGGAACATTGTCAACCTTTGAAAACTACATTTTGTTTAATCAATTTGAAGCATCCATATTGGTGACACGGATACTGAGACAATATCACAAATTTTGAGAAAAATTGACATTGTCGCTGTCCAAATGATGTCCGTTCGCGAAACGGATTTCTCCATTGTGATTGGAATAAAGCAGATACTTAAGAACTATATTTTTTTATGTTCAATTTGGATCATCCTGAGTGGTGGCACAAATCTCGAGGCAAAACATGCATACCGGGAAAAGAGGCCTCGAGGTTGCCCAAATGAAATCTGATCGCAAAATGAACCACGTCTTTGCGATCAGAACATCCCAAATATCTTAGAATACCTAATGATGACATACAATTTAACAAAACAAGGGGCATGCGAGGGGGTCGATACAAACATCATGGCAAAGCAGGAATTTCAAAGAAAATGTCACTTGGTGAAACGACGTCGGATCACCGGTGCAATTAGAATGTCGTCAATACCCTAAATACACTATCAATTTATTCAAATGAGATTGCACATGAAAATCGAGGTGATCCCAAAACGACTACACGCATTTCAAGAAGAATTAGCCTCGACGTTGCTTAAACGATGTCCGATCACGAAACGGACTGCGTCGTTGTGATCGGAACATCGGGAATACCCTAAATGCACTATCAATTCGTCTAATTTCGATATTCGCAAAATTGACATAGAAAACAAGACAAAATGCATAGATATTGAGGAAATGCATGCGGTTCAGAGCTGTTTTAATCTGTTTGCGGGCTATTATTGCTTTGGAGCAATTAATAATAATGATATATCTTTATTATTATTATTAATTTAATAAAACTAATGAGAAATCATATCAAAAGTCAAACAGAAAAATCCAATCACATTTAATACACACCTCGTATTACCTCGACGTTCTGTGATGATTTTGATTAAATCCCTGAAAATCTGCCGAAGTTCTGCTCTGTTCTCCGAGCAAATCTCATCTCGGAAGCCACTCTAAACCTCAAGCAATGAAATAACCTCGGCCAGATGCTTCTCCAAGACAACGAGCAGTTTTTCTTTCTTAAGTTCTCTGCCTCAGGAAAAAAAAAGCTCTTCTGTCGGTTCCCTTTCTGGAGTTGGCGAACATAACACAAGCAGCCTCCCTGCTCACTCTAATCCCACTTCTTCCTCCTGCTCACGCGAAGCTGCCCTCCTCCTGATTCTTCTCCTATTATGCCGAATGCCTGAGATGGAGCTAGCTCACGATAGCAGCTTCCTGTTCCTATTCAGAATCTACTATGCCGGCTTCAACTTCATGAAAACGAAGAAGCAAATTTGCTGTTTGTGAGTCTCCTGTAGGTGTTAGCCTCTCCCACTCAACTCCAGTCCATCTCCCTCTGTCAAACTCTTTCTCACCAACAAAATAGCTCTCATGCAGTCATGCCATTCCTTGATCTCATCGTTTGTCCAAGCCAAAAGAAGATCCACTCAAATACACTTGGCTGCTCGCATTCACTAGGGATAGCTAGTTGATTCAAGCCAAGCCAAGGAAAGGAAAAAGTATCAGATCTTATCTTGCTTTTGATCTGTTTGGCCAGGAAGAGAAGAGCTTGCGGCTCCCTATTTCAGCTAAAACAC